TGGAGAGAAGGAAGGAGAAGGAGGGTGGTGATGGTGGCGAAAGGTCATCTTTATCAAATGCTTTGTGGGCCACAGAATTTGTAGTCTAGGCTCTGCATTAAATGTTTTATATCTAGTGCCTCAATTAATTTTCACAACAACTTCAAGAGGTAGGGAATATTAATATCCCTATTTGACAGGTGGTAAGACTGAGGTTTAGAGATGTGAAGCGACTGGATTGCATAGCCAATGCTAGACTTTGATAGATAGATCTGGACTTTGAACCTGAGCAGCCAATGGGCACAAATCTGTCACTACTGACCCAGAGACAACTCAAAGATCAAGTCCTAGTGATGGTGATCCATTGTGTCATGCAGAGATGAGGGTCAGAATGATACCCAGTGGTGCAGAACCAGCTCGGGCGGTGTTTTGAGGTGTTGGCATGCAGTTCTGTTTTGTGTGTGTCCACACGGGCCCATCAGAGGAACAGCCAAGTGGGGGAGGGGTTTAGGTATTCCAGGCTCCTTGCAAGAGACCTCCGGGAATTACAAAACTTAGGTGTGAATTCAGTTGAACAGTTTCAAGTAAGTTTGCTTGTAAACCAATTTCTCCAACACTTTCATTTTGTGCAGATTTTGATCCAAAGTGTGACGTGGCCAAGTGCTAACGCAGCTGTGGGTCAGAGGGAAAAGTCAGATTGCTTTGTCTACTTACTGCTTGATTTATGCCTTTAATTTGTAAGTTAAAAAGTTTTTTCCTTTCTGTGCTTTCTTGGTAAGGCCTGGGTAATGGTAAGAAAGGACACCCGTAGAAAAGTTCTGGGAACCCAAATTACTGTGTAGTTTCTCTTAATTCTCAAGGGGCATGTAAATTGAATTGGCTCAGCAGTGAACAGAATTGATTGCAAAATCACATTTTCGTGCAGAGGGAGCACATGAAGGCTTTCCTCACCCTCCTTTGATTTAATTAAATTGTACTCCCGCTGGAGCTTCCGGGTGAGGACGCGTATGACTGCCGTGCCCTGTGATTTGTATCAAAGACCCACTTTTCCTGCCCTGGCGTTTATCTTCAGGATCGAGCCCTGTGGTTGAGAGATTATGAAGTGTTACTTCTGCGTCAGGTGCCAGCTGGTCGCATGGGTTAGTGGTGAATGCTTCGGGCTGGAGTCAAAAGGCCATTCCGGGTTTCATGTTGTCTCTGACTCGGGGCAAATTCTTTCCTTCCAGTAACTCTCCTTCCCTCGCTGCCCACGGCGTCTCAGCACCTTCATCGTCATCGTCATGTCTTGTGTATCGTGTGGTTAGTGGTTAAGAGCATGGGCTTTGGAGACAGACTGTCTGAGTTCCTGTCTGAGTTCTGCCCAGTTCCGGCTGCCTAACCTTGGACAAGTGACCTGCCCTCTCTAATGCCTCCGTTTTCTCATCTGTATGATGGGAACCATTAGGTCGGCGTGAGGACTAAACACAATAATGCATCTAGAGTGCTCAGCCTGGTGTCTGACACATAATGAGGCTTTTGTCACCATCGTCTGCATTAATCTGTCATTGCTGTTGTAATGATTTCCTAATGAATCTCAGATGGACCCTGGTAACATAAACCTGTGTAATTTGTGTTCTCTAGAGGCATACATTTGAAAATAGATACTCATTGGCATGGATATTTAACAAATCCTCATATATGGAATTCAGCAGAAACTAGTACATCCCAGAATCAAAGCGCTGTATAAAGCCTGAGGGCTAAGAGACTTTAAAGCGGCCAGGTCTTAGAGCACTCTGACTAAGCAAGATGGATAGACTTTGGCTCAAGCCGGGTTGTTGAGTTGCTGTATTAACTGATTCACTCTTCCTAGGAGCTATAATTCAGGAATTGTCGAGTGACTCACGTCCCCTTGAACTGATCCTGGAGAGCTGGGTTCTGTCCTTTGAAGGCAGAGGTTCTTGCGAGGCTTACTTGAAAGCAGACAAACCTGAGATAACTCTGCTAATCAGTCATGAGAAGCCAGTGCCAGAGGCCTTTTATTTTAGGAAATTGCCCTTGTCTCCGAACCTCGGTCTGACACTCACAGGCAACTATGAGATTTAAAGGTTTCCCTGGAACAGATGGACCGTTTCTAAAGGGCGAGTGGCATGCCTTTTGCTTCTGCGGGAGTGGAAGGTGTTTACAAACCATAGACTACTGGTACAGCTTGGTAGGCGTGTGTGTTTGCCACTGCCCAGGAAAGTAAGACAACTGGAGCATTCGTGCAGCAGCAAGATAGACTAGTACACTGCCTTCCAGCTCTGTGTCCTTGGACAAACTGTGTAAGCTCTCTGGGCCTCAGGTTCCACATCGGTAAAATGGGAATAACACTGGTACCCAACCCATAAGGTGGTTAAAAAGGTTTGATGATGTCATGGATGATAACTGGGTCAGTGCAGAGTCAACAAAGCCATCTGGCCTGTGTGAGGGGGAGGCTGCTCCCTACCCTGGGCCTTCCGTGTTGGGCCGTGTAGTGACACAGTCCTGGCAGGCATGGCTTGTTAGCTTCTTTTTAAATTTATTCTCTTTGGCTCATTTACCCAAACTAGACAGAGATGAATGGCCTGGCCTCCGAGGAGCGAGTGGCACAGGTTCCTGGCATCTTTGGCTCATTGATCGCGCCTCCTTGAATTGGGGAATGCTTGGGTGTTCCAGGAAGGAGCCTCCCAGGCCCCAGGAAACATGAAAGGAAAGTAATTTTGTGCAAATTCCCCTCCTAATTAAGGAGATCTGAAAGCCCTGCATTTTGCTGTTCCTTCTGGATTTTGCTGTTTAGAAATAGGAGCATGTTTCTCTGGGCTGGAGTGTTTGCATTTAATGGGAGGAATGAAGTGATCAGGGATGGCTGGAAAGCAGACTTGCCCAAATACGGTCTGTTCCCCTGCACTTCCCTTACCCACCTGTCCAAGCTGAGCACATGCCCTTCTCTGTGGATCGCTGGTCCTGGTGACGTTACCCATTGCCCTCACAGGTCACCAGGCCCCGCGGGATTGCATCGCTGCTCCTCTCTCTGTCCCATCCGCATCCCTGCCCTTCTCTGCTGAGCACTGGTTGCCAACTGCACTGGCCTTCTTCCCTCCAAAAGACAACATCAGTTTTTTGACTTGTAATCACAAGAACTTTTAAGCATACGAAGTGATACCTTTTCATTCATCAGACTGTCTGCTGGAAATACAGCAACCCATTTTGTTCTCATCTTTCTGACCTTCAATAAGTGGCTATTCATCTTTGGTTTTCTTCAAGAAATGAATAATATTAATAAAATGAGGTGATTTGACAAATTATCTGTTTGATAATTCAAAGGCCTTGTGGCTAACTCCGGTTTATAGATGGGGCAGTAGAGGCTCAGAGAGGGTGGAGAGACTTACCCAAGGACTCAGAGCAACTGGGGAGCCAAGCTGGAATTACTGCCCACTCTGGACCAGCGTCCCTCTCATATTTCATAGCAGGTGAAAATGCCTCTTAGGATTTCATGGTTCTCATTTCAAACATGCCTGGGGCTCTGTTCCTCTAGGGTTTTTTTTTTTTTAATTAAGGTACAGTCAATTACAATGTGTCCATTTCTGGTGTATAGCACAATGTCCCAGTCTTGCGTATACATAGAGATACCCTCTAGGAAGTTTAAATAAGATGTTCTCAACCATGATGACTGTCAGAATCACTTGGAATATCCTTTTTTTTTTAAAGTTATGACCAACTTCACCCTATGCCTTTTCATGCCTGCAGACTCATAAGCACGAAGAGAGGATGTGTGCACTATGATTTCTCCTTAAAGCGGAGGCTTTATTATCTTATTTAATGATGTCGGCATATCAGGGTTTGGCAAACTGTGGCCCACAGGCCAAATCTAGCTCGCCACCTGCTTTTGTGCAGCCCGTGAGCTAAACACAGTATTTATAGATGAACATTTGCAGTTTATTTGATGATAAGAAATACTTTGAATTCTATTTAAGCTAAACATTGTCCTCCCTCTGTAAAAGAAAAAAAAACTTCTATTCTTCTGATTAGTAGACCTGTATTTCAGAAAATTATACTTCTTGGAAAAGATACTCCAAGTGATTCTGTTGGTTGAGAACCAACCCCCAGAAGAACTGAGCCAAGCATCTCTGAAAAGAGAGTCATGAAACCCTAAGAGGGATTTTCCCCCACTAGGAATCTTATACCTATATTTTAAAAAATTACTGTATTTTGAATGTTTTTAGCAAAAAACTTGTGGAGATTTGTTTTCTCTTTTGTTTTTCAAGTACCTATATAATATCACTGATTTGACTTTTGCCTCCTGGCCCCCAAAGCCTAAAATATTTACCTTCCAGCACTCTATAGGAAATAAATGACTGTTTTATGTTGGAGCATTTCCCCTTTTATGACTTCTATAAATCATTTAAGGGGTTTCTATTCTAAAAGTAATACATTCTCCTTATAACGTCAAATTCACAAAAGAATATAAAATAAAAAGTGATTGGTCCCCTTCCTTCCCCAGTGTTAGCACTTAACAGTTTGTAATGTATCTTTGTCCTGGCTTTGCCACCGACTGCCTGTGAGACCGTAGCTAACCCCTCTAAGCCTCGAATTCTCCATCTGTAAAACAGTGCTAAAAACAGAATTGTTGTGTGCGTAATTTGGGGTAATTCATGTGAATTGCTTAGCACGTTGCCTGGTGCACAGTTACTGTTTAATGATTGGTAACTAATTAAATTTTTTTCTCCTTTTTAGTTTGTATACACATATAAGCTTGGGTTTTTAAAAAAGGAGGAATATGAAATTTTTTTTTTTACAATAAAGTTCCAGAGGTGATTCTGATGTACACACACTTGAGAACAGCTGAAGTAAATATCTGGAAGTAGGTAACTTCTAGAAGGGATTTATATTTGGGGGCCAGAAATTGCCTTCCATTGTCTAGCACAAACAAGGGAAAGCGGGAGGGTAATGGGTTTCTTCAGGGAACCTGTAGGATAGTATAAAATGCACGCATGCACACAGTGAATGTTATTTCTGTTTTCCAGGTCTACAACTCGAACAAAGACAGCCAGAGCGAAGGGAGTAAGTATGTTGCGTGGATACTTTTCTGCAGCTGGGGGTGGGGTTGGGCATGAGAAGTTGTTATTCCGGAAAAGAACCACCAGGAGGTGCTGTGGGCATGTTGGGGCTGCCCTATTCCCCCAGTGCAGCTGCTTCTGCCCTGACTTACCAGGTCAGTGACTCCTGGTCGTTCAGTGAGCCTGACTGGCGAGGCCAAGGCCGTGATGACATCTCGTGCTCCATAACACTTCACACCGTACAAAGAATTTTTATGCACGTTATCTCAGTTAATCCTATGTCGTCTTAAGAATGCAGCTCCAGTCACCACTTAAAAGTCACTTAATCCAATAATACTCAGCTCCCCAAGAGCCCTGTCCTGTGGGAAGCCAGAATTGACTTTGCCTCCTACGCAGTCTCGCTCACGAGCCTGGAGAGGCAAGAACCATCTTAGTGATCACTTAGTAACTGACTCTGTGTTCCTTGTTGCCTCTTTGGGGAGTTCAGTGTGGAGATGGTGAACTCTGTAATCATCTTCCTTTCTGATGGGAGGGACCCTGGGCAGCCGCTATGGAATATACAGCACGTCTCCCTGTGCTGGCTCTGAGCGCTCCAGTTAATCATGATTTCCAAGGGCACCTGTAACCTTGCAGAGACGATAGAATTAAAATGAAACTGCTCTTGCTAGAGTGTTGGGGCTGATTATCTCCTTGGTGCACAGGAGAAAAAACCAAATTCCTTCCAGGTTGCTACAAGAGTACAAAGGAAATCCTGTCCCCTTGCCTCAAATTTGCTTTGTGAAATCTACTTGAAAAAAAAATTCAAAGACAGCCCAACCATGAATTCCGGAAGTGTCAGAAAAGCCAGTAAAACAGTGCCTCTCCATGTGGACAAAAGGATGAGCTGTTTTGTGTGTGTGCGAAATCCATTATGGGACAGAGATTTTCCTCCTTTCATTCTTTCCAAAATACAGATTTTACCAAGCGTTTTATATAAAATGTTAAGTAATTTGGAATGGTTGCTGTTGGAAGGTGAAGAGGCCTTTAGGAGAGGAAAATATGTTTCTGTGTTGTTTTTTTTCTTCCTCTCAAAAATTGAACAAGGAAAAATTTTTTCAAGTAAATATTCAAGGAAAGAGGTCATTATTCCCCTGACAGGTGGGGTTGTTTCAGAATGTCTGAAATCAATTCTGACAACTTGGGCTAAAATAACAGTAGCAAAGACAACAGTGATAATAATGAAGGCATATGGAAGACTGCAGGGTGAGGCAGGAAGAGCTGAAGAAACAAGACTTGAGAACAGACCAGTTCTGGAGACCTAGGAACCAATGAGAAAGGATCTTCTGGGTAATACTTGCAGGATAATAGAGCTGTTAAACTGTTTTTAGTCCTTGCCTCTCTTTTCTGAAGTTCCAGAAGTCTAGCTTCGGCCCATCTGCGGGCTGAACAACACATCCTGATTGCTAGTTTTAAGAGTATTCATAAAATGCGAGCAGAGTAGCTTACCAAACAAAGATCAGGGAACCCAGCAGAGGGTAGATGCCAGGCAGGCTAAAATAACAGATGCCCACGCCATGCCCCAACCTGAGACACACTTCTATAATAAAGGAGTTAAGAACTACGGGGGATGAGATGCATATGAATGGAGACAGCCCCCCCAACCCCAATCAGAAGTTTGCCTGTAACCTTTGACCTTACAAACCTGCTTCTCTCTCCTTGAGATGAGGGCCAATCAATTTGAAAGACAACCATGATGCTACTGGCTGACATGCTGGCTGGTTTTACCATTCTGTGAGGCCTTTGTGGAATATGTATTGAAAGCCTTTAAAAAGTAAATATCCTTTGACCCTGCAATTTATGCTAAAGAACATACTGGAGTGCAAAGATATTTCTCTAACGAGTAGTTCATTGAAGTCTTGATAATAATAGCAAAGAACTGGAGCCAATCTAAATGTTCAATAGGAAGCTGATTAGAAATACCGTAAAGTACTATGTAACCTTCAAAAAGAACAAGAGAGATCTTGGTGTATTTGCAGAAATGGCGCCCACAGTATTGTTCATTGAGTTTTTTTTTTAATTCAGGTTGTGGAACCATGTATTTGTTAAAATATATTATTTGACTCATCTATATATATATTGATAGAAAACAGTCTGGAAATATATTTATCATCAAAGTCTCAATCAGGCTGGAGGGTAGATTACTAGAAGACACTGACCTTCTACTTTAAATGCTTGTCTATACTTTGCATTGTCGACAGGGAGTCTATATTTTGCAATAACAGCTATTAATAGATAGCATTTATTGGCCACTTACTGTGTTTCGGGATGTTTTATGTACGTTAGTTTACTTAATACTTGCAATGCTGTGTGAGGTAGGGGCTTTTGACCTACTTTGTAGATTAGGAAACTGAAGTTAATAAACTCGGGGGCCATGATTTAATCTGAGTTCTGTGTAACATCTCTACCGTTAACCACGAGGATATTCCATGTCCCTAGGAAAAGAACAATACAGAAAGACCCATCTTGGGAAACAGAGACACTTGCAGCATTTTGCCTTTGGCATCCTGTACACAGAGTTGGCTGCCTCAAATCTTTAATGATTCTTCAATTGCTTATCCTTTCATTTAGGAAGTGGGAAAGAAAAAGATGGGCTGAACATGTTGGCCACTTTTCCAGGAGTACTTTGGATAGAAATCATTTTCCTAGAGTTATTATTCTAAAAGATGTTCTGTTCACTTATTTCTGAGCCGGCAAAACCAGAGTAATGCTCTGGGTTGCTGTTTGCTCCCCTCCTTTGGCATTAGGACCCGCTTTTCTCAGCACACAAGCCTTAGCCTGCTTCCCCTCCCCTCCGACGTGGGTTGTTCCCTTCCTATTCCTGGTGGCCGTGATTTGCGGTTTCACCGCACACCGCTCATAGCGCTTGTCCGCCACAGGTGGCGCTATTGCCCAGGATCTGATTGTTCTGCAACTGTTTATAGGGCAGTCGAAACTCTTTTTTTTTTAAAGGTAAGAAATCAGTCTGATATGAATTTAAGAGTGGAACATTGTGCTTTTCACCATTAATAGCCAAATTCCAAATGTCTAGCAGTTTCCTTTCTAGAAACCATTTTGGTGGGAATTTGAATGCCAACATGTTATCACAGACCCTGAATGTTTTGAAGGGATGGGTCACAAAAGGGAATTCCTTTAGGGACACTTCTGAATTTGTTACTTTTATCTTAAAATTTCGGGGCATACAGTGCCTGTGGGGTGTAGGACAGGGCCATGAATAATGTCTGGCCCTGCTGCTATTTTCCAGATGGGCCAGTTGCCAGGGAGAGGATGGTGGCAGGTAAATACATGCGCATTTTGCAGAGCCATGTCCCCCCTCCTTTCTTCTCTGGTCTCTCAGGCACCGAGAAAGTGAATTAATCCTACTCCTCAGCTCGTGGCACATGATCATCACAGGCCCCTCCCTCCCTCCCTTCGTTCATTCATTTATTCACTCATTCCCTTTTAATTCTTTTCCCAACTCCTGTTCCTGTCTTCTGCTACAGACTGCCATTCTAATGTGTGCTCTTACAGTGTATTCTTGGGCAATGTGTATCTTTTATCTACCTGTGTGTTAAAGTTGTATAAATGGTTCTATGTCTTGTTCTATTTCCTCCTGTGCTCCCCCAGCATCATATTAGGAGCCGCCCACTTTCCCCTGTCTGTTTCCAGACTGTGGCATCTGTCTGCTGCTCACTCCATGGAGTGTAA